AGTCATTTTTCATACTCTTGCCTGGTCACTTGCACGGTACCCTGACTTGGTTGCGTCGTGTTGGGCTGCCAGCACGTTGACATACGTCTATGCGTTTTCTACTCCGCACGGCTCTCTCTTCCTTGCTTCTTGCTGTGTGGAACGAGCGCCCGTCCAACGTCAATACTCGGGCTTCGACATGTTTCAGACTTCCTCTTTTGGGATATCGACCTGGTCTTTGCCACATTCGTACTATCTCTTCCAGCGGGACGCGAACTGTGTGGTCTTGGAGACGCTTTGACCGGTACGAGCAAAACTCCTCCAGTTGATCCGGACGGTCGGGTGCAGTCCAGGTGTTGGGATGGCTCTTGCAGTTTGTTTGGGTCACTGGGTCAGCGCAGAAGCGAGCCATTCTACTTCTTGCAAACATGTGCAAATTTGCAATGTTTTGCATTTGCAAGCTTTTGCATTTTCTTATTTTTGCACGGAGCTTTTGCTCTCTCTTTTGCGTTGTAACTTGACCGTGCTGCTAATGTTTTCCGCACGAGACAGAACTCTAAGAACGTCCTGTGCATTGCGCTGCCGGACTAACGCACACCAGGAGCTTCCACGGTCTACTCTCTTGCCTGGTCTCTCTGTGCGCGTAGTTTGGCGACAATGACCGCAGCGAATTTCACCGTGAACCGTCTGTCTCGATTCTGGGTTGGGGCCATTTCTAGCTGGCGTTTTGAGTTGCAACGACTCCGACACCAACAGCTCTGAAGCTCTTCTTCCCGGCGAATTGCACTTCTGGACTTTGGTGTGCTCGACTGTGACGAAACAAGCGCAGGAGCTGCTGTCTGTTGTCTGACGAGACTGAAACGGTCTTGGCTCCACCTGTTGCTTTGGACAGCTCAGAGCGACGGCTCTTTTGCTTCTGATCGATCGCTTTGCAGTTTTTAGTTACTTGTTTTTAGTCTGTTTGTTTGTAGGAACCGAGTGCTACAGCCGTAGTCGACGAGGCCCGCTCACGTCAAAAAAAGTCAGGGCACATAACTCTGACGAGTTGTACACGGTTTCATAGTGTGCGCTCAGATCTTCCATTTGATCGTTTGTTCTTCTCTTCGTTTTCCGTGCTTTTCTCTTAATGGCATGCGAGTAAGACGTATACAACGTTTTTTCATCATAAGCGGCATAATTCCAATCTGATTCAGTATAATAACTGTGTTCATACCATGAATCTTGCAGCCGCACCTTGGATGGGCCAGAGGGGCCCATGAACAGTGTGCCAATTCGAGACTCTTCGCCTTAAGTTTGATCCACTGCCGGGTGTGTAGCTTGCCAGGACCCCCTGGATCGCAACTGCGTCGGTCCGGCGTTTGTGCATGGCTACAATGGCAAGGCACCACTGGTCCAGTTCTGGTCGTCGAAAACAAATCTGATCGAACATGGTCTGTCGCACCACAAGGTACGTGAGGTCTCAATTCGGTACCCTTGGTTGGTCAGGACTCACACCAACCTCTCACGTTGTGTTTCATTCAGTCGGACTGCACTAAAAACAGGAGAGCCTGGAGATTATCATTTAATGGAAACGCTTTTCGATGATTATCAAGGTGTTCCACGTCTCAAAGTATCGTGCGGTGTACTATTCCCTTTCGTTTAGATCCTGTATGCGTACGAAGGTTGCATTTGTATGGCAGCAAGAATCCTTGAACAGAGAAAAGCTTGCAGCTCCAGATGGAGTAGATTACTTCAAAAAGAAGACGCGTCCATTTTTCGTAAAAGGAGAACAGTACGTTTTCCTGTGGCGGTTTCTTGGCCTGTTTGAGGCGTCAAAGAGAAACCAGGACTTTGTCACCTGGATTGCTAAGGTTGAGATCGTATTGCAGCGTTTGAGAAACTCTTGGATGGACCTTTTACCACAGGTAACCCTGGAAGATGCCAACCCAGAATTTCTCCCTGGTGTGCAAGAGGTAGCGATCGGACCTCAACGACGTATGTCGTCGGGCAGTGTGCCATCAGATCGAGGCCCTCAGCGGGCCAGAAGAATGAGCCGCCGAGCCGGCCTGATCGAACAGTGGATGCAGGACGGAGGGATACCACCTGCCCGTCTCGTGAGACGCAATGTTACTCAGGGCTATGTAGCTCTTTCAGCTTCCAGAATATCGAGTTATGTGCCCTGACTAGGTGTGGAAACTGCAACAGCAGTTTTTCCTTTGCAACACACCGTCTTATCTGCTCTTACAGAGCGGATCAATCTTGATCGAAGCCCTACCTTTGTCATTCTTAACTCAGGTTGTACTGGGGAGTCCCCGGAACAAGGGCCATGGGATCCCACTATGCGGTTAGCATGATTGATTTCAGCTTCTCTCCTTCGAACACGAAGTTCTCTTTTGCAGAACAGCTCTAATCAAGGAACGAGTCACTCTCTGACAGCCATAGAAGTACTTGACCAGGGTCGAGTTTCCATTTTGCTCTCCATTGAGAACAAATGAGGAATCTTTGGATGACCCTTGAGTGCAGTCCCAAAGCAGACCTCAATAAGACGCCTCTTCCAATCAGCACCAACAATTTTTTTTGGCGTATGCGGACCTCGTCGATTACGGCTGTAGCACTCGAGCCAAGTCAAGGTTCTAGTTCCGTCGAACAACAGTCGCTCCGAGGTCCACAAAGGGAGACTTCGCAGTCAACAATGCATTTTGGCTTTGGCTCATTCTTTGAAGTGAGACACCAGTTGACAAAGTTTTTCCCAAGTTTCTTGGTTTTCAAAGTTTGGTTCCTTCAACTGATGCTCAGGATCTCTAATTCGTCGTCTCTCCAGTTTCGGCTGGATGCATTTGGCGTTGCATTCGAGCACGATAGAAGTTGACTCTCTTATGCGGGGTCGCTTTATGGCTGGTTTTACGAAAATGAACTGTTAGCACACTGGCGAATACACGCTAAGCATCCGCAAAGAGGAGAGGGGCGCAGAGAGAAAGCCTCGAAGAGCTTAAAGGGAGCTTGCTTGAAGGGAAGCTTCGATAGAGGGCTTAAGGGGCTTGGAGGAGCTTAAGGGGGCTCAAGGGGCGTTGAAGAGGCCTTTGACCCCCTTCAAGTCCCCCTCTTTGAGCCATTCGATCTTTCCTCCCCCGGAAGGCACTCTTAAGCCTCCCTTCAAGCCCCTGTCAAGCTTCCGCTTCGTCGAAGGTCTGGGTCCAGCCCCTTATTTGCCAGTTGGGCTATGCTTGTGAAAGGTGCTGAATTAACTTCTTAAAGTCTCTATGTCGTGCTCAACTTGTTTCTTGTCCACCGAATCTGTTTGCTTGGACTCCATGAGAAACACAAAACAAAATCATCTTCTCTGATGTTTCGGCATCCCTCTGCTTTAGTGGCAGTCTTAGATGCTCTGGTTTTCAAGAGCAAAGCAGACATTCCTCAAGCGAAACTCTAGGGGCTCTGCAAAGTCGCTGCGTTCGGTGGCAGCCCTGTTGACGACTGATTGCAGAAAGCTGAGCCATGTCATGATTGCAATACAAATTGCGGAAAGGAGACAAGTAAGTCTGTAGGTCCGGTTGCACGTTAATTGATGCTGAATTCGCTTGCTAAGTCAGCCATGTTCACTTTGTGCAGGCAAAGTTGCTATCATTCTTCCGAGCCATCCGCGCCAGCAGCAGTCTGCCTTGCCGTCTGCGAGCAAAGTGACGTCGCCTGCTAGCTTTTAGAAGTTACACCTCCGCCATGACAGAATGATTGAAAAGTATTCGATCTGAGACTCCAAAGCAGGTTTGAATTTTAGTCTTGCCAGTAGAACCGCTGTTGATGGGTTTTCTCAAGTCCAGATTGGAACTTCGGTTCAATCTCGTTTCGTGAGCTTGAAATGTCTTTTTTGTTTGGACGTTTCCAAATCGGAAGGTTCCTTCTTTTCACGGCGAGGTTTGGCGGAGGAGCAACAACGTCCAACAAGAAGCTTACGACGTTTCCTTTCGATTATTCAAGCGTTCGTTTGGCTCTCTCTTTCTCATGTGGGAAAAATGTTCGATTGAGTGAACGAAAATTTTGTTGGATGTTCACAGCACCAGCGATTGCGACTCTAGCTCATTTGTGGATGAAAGGAAGACTGTCTTGATGTTGGCAACAGTTTTGCGGAAGTGTTCTTCTGTTGTTTGGAACCAACAGTGCGGAAACGCGCACATGAATTTTGTAGAGAAATTCTAAATTCGACCACCCGCCCGGGGTTGAAACGGGTGCGATCTGCCAAGCCTTGTGTCACTTCTGTTGACCATCGTGTTGTGTGGTTTGCTGCTTCGAAAGTGCAGCTCCAAGTCTTGTTCGACCCGCATGCCTTCTTCGGAGAAAAAGCAGGAGTGCGCCTGTCTGAATGACGTTGTACAATTATGTTTCATAATCCTGATTGCATGGGAAGTTGACATTCGATTGAGTGAAGGGAATTGCCCCCTTGCTTGCACATGTTTCGCGGTTCATCCAGCTGATTCCGGATTTGCAAGCTTTTTACAAGACCCATGTAAGCTAGATGAACTTAGCAGCGAACGGTTCAATGTTGCCATGCTTGAGCTACTTGATGTCGCGGGAACCGCACGTAAGCATTCGTAATTGTTTAGCGTTCAATCAATATCGCAAGGTCGAACCCTGTGAAGTTTCGTGGCTTTTGTGTGGAATGCTGACACTGTGGTTTGTTGTATTTCCAAACAGAAGTTGCCAAACAGGTCACAAGTACATCGGCGGAAGGGGCAGATCTTTTTGCCAGTTACCCCCCAGGTTTCATTCGAATAGTGAGTCTCAAGGCTTCCGCCCAGGATGCGGGTTGGAAAAGGGTCAGGCGTCCGATGTACAGTCATCGCAGCGTTGCTGATCGAAGGGTGCTATCCGGTAGCTATTTCGGTGCCGATTCATGGATGTTGCTTCGCACCCGTCAAAGTCAAAGAAGCCTCGTGAAACCAAAAGACTCCATGGCGACATTTGCCGGAATGGCCACGGATCTGGACATAACAAACTCAAGCATAGTGAGTTTGGGAGCTTCACGTGCCATTGAAACACACGCGGCCATGACAGCCGAACAGCGTGCAGAGGCAAGCGTGGTCGTTTCCGTTTCGCAACAGGACGGATATGGAAAGCGTTGAGGCGAACAGCAAAGAACCTGTTCCAAATGCCGACGACACTTGTACAGAGGCCGTGCGGCGTTTTGTTGGCTCGTTTTGGCATTGCTGTCACCAGTGCATGACTGGCAGGGAGTAGTTGCATCAACTTCGCGTTCAAGGCAAGCAGAGGAAGACCAGGAAAGGCTGTGATCTTTGCACCTCCTTGCACTTTCCGCATGTGGAACTGAGCGTGGGATTTTGCAGGAGCTGTCAAGGTTCCATGCCAAAGCGAAAGCTCGAAGGAAGAGCAGACAGAAACGAATTCAGCAGCTTGGTGGTGCACATGTTTCCGTTTCTTGCACTTCGCAATGTGATGCTTCGCTGGTCTAAGGTATCAGTTCATGTTCAAAGTTGCTCTCTAAGTTGCTGAAAAGCCCTAAGAGTTTCAAAGTTGTCGAGAGTTTGCATTCAGGCAGGGGCCTTTGTGATCATGCTGACTGTGGTGATGATTACGAAGAAGATCCAAGAGTGGTTCTCCTTTCGTTCATGTGACTTTCTTTTGGAGTTGTCGTGGAGTGATGCAGGTACAAAGGAGGAACGAATCCTTCAGAAGATAAGGCTGGCACATGTGCCGTATGCTTTGCTGATTGGGTGATTCATGCAACCAAGCTGCACAGGCTCCGTCGCCAACGACGGCTGCCAACAGCATTGAGCTCGGGGTATGGGAAGCTTGCGCGGGTCGTCCAGCGCTGTCATGCTGCAGGTGAGCTTTGACATCGAGAATCGTGCAGCAACTGAGGTGCTGATGTTTCGTTAGTTAGCATGCCGCACTCCATCTTTCCATGCATGATTTGCCATGGTTCGCATGGCTTCGCGGTTGGCCGATGATTCAAACGGGGTGATGCCATCCGCCTGCGAGCGATGGGAAATGTAGCATTGAGGAAAGGCAAGCTGACAGCGGTATGCAAACAGGTGCAAGTGCTGAGCAAAAAGAAGTCTGCTTCCGACTGTGCCAGCTTCCCAGACATGTCCTCGCCTTCCCGTCATTCGTTCACCTGTGAAGGGAATGGGAGTTGCCAACCGAAAATGTTACATGAAGCACAACGGCATCCTTCCACCGAGTTTCGGGATAGTCCAGAGCTTGATGGGCATGACTGCACAGGAGCAGACACAGCCATGACTAGCAGTGAGAATCATCACCTCTGCAGTTGGAGCTTTAGCCGACACCATGTCGCTGTGCGACGATGGCATCAGGCCACTGGCCACTGGCCCACTGCATTTTTGCACAAACGGTTGAGACAAGACTTCAAGACTTGACCGACTCGTCCAACTTCCACCGTTGCTTTAGGTTTAAAACAAGTACTGGACACTGGCAGGTGAAAACCAGAGCGCCCAAAATCGGATAATTACACGGCCGAATCAATGTCAAACTGCACCAAACCCCTTTCAACTGCGGTTGCTATGTTGGCCAACATGGCCAACCTTCTCCTTCAAGCGGTTGAGATCCTCCGACTTGTGCTAACAGTGGGGCTCCAAGCTGCTTTTCTAAGCTGCTGGCCTGCTTGCCAGCGCGGTCGTCCCAGAGTGTTATTGGCCGCCTCTGCCTCGGCAGCATTGTTGTAATTTCCATGCCGTCAGGTGGTACCCGAAGCCTCGCCCGATATGCCAATCAACCCGAATGAGAGTAGACCAGTTGAGATCATTCAGTCCGGGCCCTGTGCTGGCCAGAAGATAGGTGACTTTTCTTCAAGCGCTGACTCTGGATCGAGCCACTATCTCGAAGAGGTGCCAAGGAAACTCCTCACAGAGCGACGCTCACGCCGCGCGCAGATCTCAACCGCCGCATTGACGAAGCACCACCCCGGGCTCCCTCCACGAGCAACGCTAGCATTTGGTGCACGTTGCAGGCACTTCTGCCAGAGCACCATATTGCCGTCGCCGCCCCTTGCATCGACATCGATGCCTTCTGACGGGCCCAACGACAGTACAACAACTGCTTTCGCACCGCTCATGTGCTGCCTGCTTTCGTTGACAGCCAGTCGAGTCCGGCGGCACCCCTCCGCATGACGCGGCGCACAAAAACTACGCCGCTTGCGTGCGTGGCTGCCCGCAGATGAAACGCCGCCGTTGCCGCCAGGGGAGATCGTAATAGGCCGTGTTATAACATGAACGACGAAGCAACCCCAGGCTAGATGTCGCATGATGTCGTAAGCAGCTCCCGTCGCTGCGCCCTTTTGCTTTGACGCCCGGCCTGCTCTTGCCCATCCAATCATTGCTATTAGCTGCATGTACCATGGATTCCACATACAGGGTCGGATAACCTCAAATGTGCTGCAGCGCACGGTTCGCTGCACCAGCCCATGGCACTTCCCGACATGACCCAACTTGTCCGATTAGTTCAGCGTGTGCGATGCACGCGAAGCCGCTTTCCCTTGCATGTGCAGCGTTCCTTTTCTGTCCAAGGCTGTGCGCCGCACTGCTTGAAACATGCATAATTGCTGCCTGCAGCCGCGCACGCATCGGCGGAGTAGGAAAAATACATGGGCAGTCGGCAATGATCCCGCCTGCCCCCGGAGGCAATGCGGGTCGTGGACGTTGCCCGGCGACGCCTTGATGCTGCCGTGTTCCTATATAGCTGTCCCCGCTCATATCCTTGCACGAACCTGGACGATGTCACATGGGCCGCAAACTTCGCTGCCATGCCGCGTTGTGCACAAATTCGCAGGCGACCGGTTCGTTCACGATTTAACTTGGCCTTGCCAACATGAAAATCGATGTCCTGCATTTTCGCAACTGCCAACTACTTGCCTCGGCCTGGAGGTCAGCGGACAAGGCAGCCGCAGCACATTGCTGTGCGGATTTGCGCGGGCATGCTCGTCCGAGCGCCGTGGTGCCGAACGGGGTGAAACAAGTTTTGACACAATGTTGGATTCCGCCACTCGCTGTGAATTCGTGCTGGAGTTGCCATGACTGATGGCCTGGAAGTGTCGCTTGGGGGACTGCAACCAGCGTCCAGACCGCGATCGTAGCAGCGTCCAAGTGAACAAAAAAATTCGTGCAGCGCAGGGGCGAAAACACGTTGAACTTCCACAGCGCAGAGGACTTCACTTGCGCCGCACTAGTACTTGTTGCACGCACGCACGGCGTCCGGACATCAGGAGAGAGAATCCGAGGCAGAACATGGCAGAACACAGCCGTGTGTGAGGCATATGCACGGAGTTGCAGGAACGGATGTGATGAAACGCTGAAACATATTGAAACATTATCTGACTCGTGTAAATCAACCTGGATGCAGCACATCTTGCCCAGCAGCATCCGAGGCAGCATGTCCGGAGTACGCCAAGGAAAGCGTCGGGCAGCAGAACGGCAAGATGTAGGAAGGAAATCTTAGTTTTGGTGCAAACTCGGATGCCGCTCACAGCTGCGCAAACTCGTGCCCTCAGCTGCCGTACGTAGTCCTCATCTCTGCAGCGCAGTCCTTGCTCTGCCCACGACAACGCTTCAGGCATTCTGAGCCAGTTCTGTGCCCTGTCCCACTTTACATCGCTTTACCAATAAAGCCAACGCACGAACATAAGGAGGGTTCTGTTAGAAGCGTTTGGCGCGTGAGTTTGAGGCCGCGTTGAATGCGGCCTCACATGCAAATCGCCAACGCGGCCTCTGAGGGGGTACCGTCAGGGTTCAGGCGCCCTTCCACCCAGACCGCAACCGCAGAGTCTCAAAATTTCAATCCAGAAGCCTCGCGGATGCTACAAGCGCGCGGCTCTCATCACGGGACAATTGCAGCTGGTTCTCCAGTGAGCACTGAAACATATTAATGCCGAATGCGTGCGGATAAAACAAACGCTGTGGAGGCGATTTTTTTGTGTTTCCGTGCACCAGCATTCCGAAGTCAGGGGTCGGTTTACCGGAGTACCGGGCGGCCTTCTAGGGGGCAAGGCATGCACAGGCCGTACGGTGTTGCTGGGTCACAGAGCTACGCCAGCATGTCGCTCGACCGTCGGCACATGGCTACAGCTTGCACGGTGCCATGCACGCTTCGCCCCGCCACCTTCGAAAGCTGGTGCCATCTCTCCTCCGATGGTCTGCTTTTGTTCTTCGCAACAGCGCGTTCCTTCGCAGTGAGCGCCTTCTTGCTCCCACTCACCGTCACCGCAAGTGTCGAGGGAGAGATGAGAGAGCAACCCGCATTGAGCCGACTCTGCCAACTCCTCTGCCATATCTGGTCAGGCGTCTGGCGTTCCCAGCCCCCCCCCCCCCCCCCAATGGTATGGTCTGCTAGGAGTGGGGGCGGGGCTGGCGTGTGCGGAAAGGGGTCGGGGCTGTTGGAGCTGTCACTGGATGGTGGGGTGGTGCTCGCGGCCTGGGCTCGCGCGCGCAAGCAAGCCGTAAACCCTATAACGCAGCGCGTGCTCCTGTTTTGAGTAACCTTAGCTTGTACTTCGAACCCTATACCCAACCGTAAACCCCACCTAACTGCAGGCTCTAAGCCTAAAGCAGAACATACACCGCAAATCCTCCCCAAGCCCTTGTCGACTCGAAGCACTATACCTTGTAACCGTAAACCCAACACTCAAAAGCTTAATCTAAACCCTAAATCCCAAAACCCCACAACCACCCCACAGGGGGAAGAGGAACCCCACACCCCACACCACAGGGGAGGGGGGGTCCCACCCTACATCCGGACCAGTGACCTTTGGGGGGGGGAGGGGGGGGGAGGGGGGGGGGCCGCGGAGCGCGTGACCATATCTGCCTCTGCTTCCTCCTCTCGCCAGCCGCCTCGTGTGAAAGGTGCGTGTTGTGCCTGGCAGCCAGACCGTACTCTGCGGCCTACCTGCGTTTAGGTCTGCACTGGGGTGCGTCTGACTGCATCGCACTTTGGACAACCCAAGGTCCTGACCAGAACGAAAGGGCACGGCGGATTCGCGTTCCCCTTCCTCAACGCCATCCACGCTCCAGACCGTCGTCCGAACATTTTCCCGTGGAGGGTCACCCCGCAATCCGAGCTCGCTCTCCGCAGATCGCCGACAACCGCCTGCGTGCGTTCGCCGCACCCCATGCCAGTGGCTCAACTGCCGTCGCAGCGGCCGCGCGAAGCGCCGATTACCTCGCCGCTCCAAGCTGTTATGTCCCCGCTTGGGATAGCCTATAGCGCACATGCCCACGACCAGCCAGGGCATGGTCTCCAAGGCTGGCAGCGGCACGCCCCGCGGCTGTGACCAGCGCGTGTCCGAGACGCATTTCGCCACCTTGCTTTCCACGTCTCGAGCGCTGCTGCGAAGCAGTCACCATCCATTCCGTGCTGCCGCTCGCGCCCCGGTTCTGTGCCTGCTCTGGCCGGCAAAGCCCGCTTCATGACCACCGCGCAGCTTGTGCAACCTCCGGGGTCTTGCGCTCTCCATTACCAAGCCAGGTGCGGAGGTGTTCGGCCGTGGTACCAGACTGCCCGGCCGCAAGCTGCGGCGGGCGCCGCGTGGGGCCGCGAGGAACACGGGCATGGGCATGGGACAGTCATGCTCTGCTTGGAAGGCAAGCACCGCATCTGGCAGCTCGGCTATTATAAGGTGTCACTGTTACCGGGCACGAGTGGCTCGGCAGTGAAGGTGCGCGACGCTGCAAAGAGCTCACCGAGATAAACGGGGGCGCCGGCGCGGTGAGCGTGTGCTCCATCACCCAGCGGCGACCGTGCTGCGGACCGGGTGCTCCAGCGACACAGCCGGCGGCTTCCACCAGCAGGTTAGCCCAGTGCCCAGCCCTGAAAACTCGCAGCGGCG